TTTGTCATTAACCAGTCCTATTTACAATTCAGACAACGAACACTCTGACGAAAACATAACCAGAACGATTGTTATGAGACCAAGCGTATACTTAGATGTTTTGATAGGCCCTCCTCGTGACTCAAAATATAGAAGTTTCTCAATAAAATTAATACAAATCAAGGATTTACATACTTTGTTGATACGCATATGATTAAAATATCAGGTAAATGTCATGTGGAAAAGCATATACTTTGAGCTGAACAAATGATAACATGTGTATGCACAAAATTATTCCAGTAACAACTAGAATGTAATTCTATATACATTGTATAAGTGACGATTAATACAAGCTAAAGATGCCCACGGGGCAACTTTTTGAATATCACCATGGAATCGACAATTTTCGTTTTCAACAGTCCGGGGCATATTGTTATAGGTAATATGCCTCTTTTTCACACCTATACCACAATTGTGCATCTTCTTAGGTATCAACATGCAAAACGGCATCAACGATAACCCCGGTTAAAGATGCCCAATGGGCAACCTTTCGAATTTCACTATGGAATCGTCATTTTTTCCGATTTCAACAGTCTGGGCATATTGTTATAGGTCTTATGCCGCTTTTTCACACCTATACCACAACTGGGCATCTTTTAAGGTATCCACAAGCAAAACGGCATCAACGATAACCCCGGTTAAAGATACCCATTGGGCAACCTTTCGAATTTCACTATGAAATCGTCATTTTTTTCGATTTCAACAGTCTGGGCATATTGTTATTGGTCTTATGCCGCTTTTTCACACACATATACCACAACTGGGCACCTTCTAAGGTATCCACAAGCAAAACGGCATCAACGACACACCAGGCTAAAGATGCCCACTGGGCAACTTTTCGAATTTCACTACGGATTCGTCAATTTTTCCGATTTCAACTGTCCGGGGCATATTGTTATAGGTCTTATACCGCTTTATCACACATTGCCACAACCGGACATCTTCTAAGGTATCCACATGCAAAACGGCATCAGCGATACCCCAGGCTAAATATGCCCAATGGACAACTTTTCTCACATATACCGAAACTGGACATCTTCAAAGGTATCCATATGCAAATCGGAATCAACGATACCCCAGGCTAAAGATGCCCACTGGGCAACTTTTCTAATTTCACTATGGAATTGTCATTTTTTGTTACAGTCCGGGGCTTATTGTTATATGTCTTATGCCGCCTTTTCACACCTTTAGCCTGTGTATCGCTGATGCCGTTTTGTATGTGAATACCTTAGAAGATGACCAGTTGTGAAATACGTGTAGAAAAGCGGCATAGGACCTATGATGTTAGTAACATCTAAATATCAAACTAGCTTAAGATAGGGCCAGCCCAATATTAAATAGGTAACCAACTTCACGCTGGTAAAATATTGAACTAGTCCAATATTGAATCAGTACCCAACTTTTCGCAGTTCCTCTAGATCAGTTCGACGCGTCATCAAAATATTGCTATTGACATAAACGGAAACGCCATCACCTTATCGTCCAGTCCTAAAATAGGAAAAGGGATCAGAAAAACAAGAGAAATTTAGCTCGTTGATATCGTCGTTTGGGCTGAGCCAAGTTTCGGTAAATAATAAGATGTTTATAGTTTATAATTCATAAATATATATAAGATTGCCAGGTATATAAAAACAAAAACAATGATTATAGTACCAGTATACTCAATGACATGGACTTGTTTTGCGGGTACATGCAAACACGTATGCGGTAAATAATGCACAGTGTTAAAAGATATGCAACTTCCTCATGGTCACTGTTCATTGGCTACATGTACCTGGCCGACAAGCCAACAACACAGGTATTACCTACAGTGGGTAAACAAATAGTAAATATAAAAACATATGAAAACAAATGGAAGAAACGTTCCAAAAATGTTACTATTGTACGCTTTAAAAGATAGTTTTTTTTTAAAATGAGTTTTTACTTTCACAAGGGGATTGTCAGTCGTAACAAATGAGTGGACTTAGAACGGTATAGTTTATGTGTATATACAATCGTAAAACGAAATACAATGCAAGCTCTTCGAATGGTACATGTGTATACGTAAGCCGTAATTCGATACCCATTTGTTTATAACATATGGCATAACTGTATCCATGCAGAGATCTACACGGCTATAAAGGTTGTAAAAAATTGCGACAAAACTATTGGTATGAGTTTAAGATAAAATAGACTACCATTAATTGGAAATCAACAGTATATATGCATAAACATTGCTATGGTGCTGTGTCCTAAAGTGTTGAAAGTGCAGGTGTGTCAAATGACTTAGTGGGAAGCGGAATTAGATACATGACCAAACGTAAGAAGATCAGACACAGTGCAAACTGGAACCACACGTGATGATTTGTACGTGGTCATAACTTTTCCGTTAGTCGTCTAGGACTGGAGGATCTTACGCGATTTGGCTGGTTTACGCACGTGGAAGGACAGTTCGTTCCGGTAGGGGTACCGTCTTCGTTAACAGACACGGGGGCAAAGTCAGAACAGTCACGAAAAGGTATGTTCATATACAGCCTTTCCAGATTTGAAAGTGATTTTTGTTCAGTCTACTGATTTTTTTTTTTTTTTTTATCATAGATTGCGTTGTCTCTTCATAACAGTTTAACCGTACACAACAAGACTAGTAACAGCAATAAGCCTCTCAGTACCACAGATCACGCTAGTATAAGAAATGCACATGTAAGTTTCTTTATGTGTAAGTGTTGCATATACATGTAGGTTTTTTGGTTAAATCCAACTTAATGTGTTTTAGTGAATACAAAATAATTATTCTTTTTTATTCCTGTCATGATATATACCTAGACCAACCTCCTGTTTATTAATTTAATAAGTTTCTGTTATGTGTTTTCCTAGACAATTAGCTGTTTATAGCATTACATTAGCCATACCCCAAATATTCTCCCTGTAAAGTGGCGGCACCCCAGGGAGCATGAAGCGCTGTGTGTACACAGTGTGTTTTGTGGATAGCTAATCAGTAAAGATCGATATCTGATAAAACTTTATGACGCATGATTTGTTAAGAATTTTGGAGTTTTGTGTAAATTTTAAATGTGTTAAATTGTTTCAATTCAATAACATTTACTAATACAAATGTTTAATTACTTCAGATACTGTAATGATTCCAGGAACAGAGGTACCAAGAAATGTGTGTGCAAAATATGAAATTGCTAAGTGTGTGCATAATTGGTGTGCTAGAGGTTAATGTTATGTAAATGAAATGAGAATTGTTTTACTCGGTAATGTATATTTTTTCAGAACGTTATTTCATTTCAACATGTTTAAGGGATAAGGAATCTTTCAAGGATTCACAAAACTTAATCAGCCAATCAGCAAGTGTTTCATGCGATTGTAATATCTACCTAAAATTTGTTTCGGTTTAATATATTGACTCTGAGTGATTTAAAAAGGAAAGTGTTAACATATTTTACATTGAATGATATTTTCAGATATTAAGACTTTAGAAAAACGTAAAGGTTTTGTAGATCTTAATATGCTATAGCGGTTGATATGGGGTCAAAAAGTCAGGGGGTGTACCCGTCCCATTACACCGGTTTGGCTTGTACACTTCTGGTTGTCTAAAACAGATTCCTGTAGCGCTCATATATGCCATTAAACCCGCCAACAATGCCCTATAAAAACCTTGTCATGTATGTATCTGTGAGTCTAGACAGTTGTGTCTAGTGTTGAACTTCAAATATAAAAGATATTAGTAATAACATATAGTAAATGATTAACTTGTGTGAGTCATGTAGAGAGAGGGTATCCTATCCTGATATTGACCGGCTACCCAGCCTTGCAAGTCTGAAGCCTCATGGTTCTATGGAACCTGTTATGACTATTTATTCTGATTGACTTAATCCTCATGGTATATGCGCAGTGAGTTCGGAATGTCTTCTGGCGATTCACCAAAATCACGTCGTCTCGAAAGTCAAAACCCACGTAAACAAATAGATACACCGGTGATGGCTGCTCCTCGACAAGAAGCATATGCCGAACGATTAACAGTACGTTTTCAATAGTTTTAAATAGTTTTGTTAAATGAAAACACAGGGAAAATAGTAAAAGTATAAAAGTGAATCACTATTCAACAACCATAAGAACAATGAACTATTGGTTAACAATACCGAGCAATACAGTGCGAATGAAAATTGAGCACATGTATACGCACGATGGTCGACCACATGTGAGACGAGTCATTGACTCAATGTGTTATCGAATTTAAATAAAGTCTATTATTATTATTATTATGGTGTGCGATAGCAGATGTGGTTGATACAGTTAGCGGAATGTCTTCAAAAATAAAAACTATTTGTTTCAAAACCACATAATCTTGATTTTAAGGTATATTTGTATGTCACCATAGTTTGCTAGATATGTATGTTTATCTCTAAATATGTAATACATTAATTCATAAAGAAAATACACACATCGGCACGGACCCATGAAACAAGCAGGTAAACAAAGTCGTCTTGTACACGTACCTAGGGTGTTTCTTGTCACCCAGGGCACTTACGTAACTTTCTGAGGTGTACAAAATATCTGTGTCAGACAGTCCAAACAAAACCTCACGGTCACTCATCCATATGTTGTTTACCTGTTTTTTTACCTGAGAGCTATTATTGACAGTTTTACATTTCTAACACTGGTCATATATGTAATACGCATTGTAAAATTAGACGTAATGCAAACTTTACAAACCAGAAATAACACATCTACAATGTACCTTATGTCAAATTCCGAACTGAGCAAGATAACACATAAATGAAGAAAACGATATCAAAACACAACACCTATGTATTGTATTATAGTAGTCAAAATAAACTCTAAGCTTTATATTAATCATATTGCCCACATTACTTAACGTACCATCAGGAATGTATATGTACCCTCATCAAACAATGTTCTACGTATATTTCAAGAAAATTTTAGTAAAAATGGAAACAAATTGAATAAATGCTTACTTTCGGATCTTGATACCGGAACAATCAACAGCAGGATAGGTAATATATCCCAGCATCGTAATTTTATTCTGGTCGACATGCCAGTCTGCTGCTAGCTAGCCTTCGATATGGCGTTATAGACAACAAGGAAGTATCACAGCGTTAACAATCGTCGATCGTGGACAAAACTGTAATTATCTTACTAAGAAATCTTTTTAATTGAGAAAATATAAAAAACAGTCTTCACAACTGACTGTGTGGCTTTGTAAATGCGAGTTAAATTTAGATCATTGACATCGTCCTGTCACCTACGTTTTACATGGCGCAGTTAAATTATGCAATTTAATTCTGAATACCATTAAATACGCCTAAGAAATCTGTTTGAAATTAAACTACCACAGACCATTTTACCACTTATCATTAAATATTGTTGTAATGGACTGTGATCTATCAAATAATAAACTCAATAACAATTAAGGTGATATTGTCTGATATGAAATATTTGATATATGGGTATTGAATCTAAGTTTGGAATAGCTGACAGATGGAAAATAGCATGTTCATTTTAGAATTGTTAGTTTGATAATATTTTGCGATTTACTGTTAACTGTTATTGTTGTAAAATGCATCATGAATGCAGGCGTAATATATGACATTGTGTAGATGGTATATTACAATGAATAATACAAGTTTTATTACAAAGGCAGTATTGATACTCTATGATGTGTTACACTAAGGTGTTGTCCTCTTTATAGAAAACAAACCCTTGTAGTCGTGCTTTCTATTGACCTTTGGCAAATCTAGTAAGTGTGGATTGGGTCGTCAGACGACCACTATGTGCAAATATCTGTATTGTATGTATGGCATTGCTATTTTTGGAAAATTATTCGAGTTATTCTGTGAGCTTAATGTTCACCCATTCATATCTGTTATACGCTTTACATCGAACTCTGAAAGGTATACATTACCTTTCTAACCAAACCACTTCCACCAAGCCAAGTCTGCTACGCACATTATGTCTCAATAAAAGTGTTTGGAAATAGTTTTAAAGTTAATCTACATGTTACTTTTTTCCGTTTCATGTTTCACTACGTAAATGTACAAACTTGTTTCAAGACGCACCGAGCTTAGTACATAATGCATTTCGCTAGATATTGATTTGTTGTTTATGATTTGCAAAGGCACCAGGTAAATCAGAAAGACGCTCTACCACGAAATGACAGTGATCATGTCACGTTGTAAGCCATAAACGGATCATTTATTTTTGTTTACACATCGTTATTCTTCAGATATTAATATTTAATTCATTACCAGCCCCGGTCGACAAGGACGCTGTCTAATACTTCCACATCGTCAGAGGATGAATGACAACGCAACACAGCAAAGAATGACGTCACACTAACTGTAACATGTTGACATAATATTATCCCCCACATAAAATGTACGCCAGTATAAACAATGTAGACTGATTTAAAAAGTAAAACAGCAAGAATGACAATATCTAAAGCAAGAAAACCTACATACAAAAAATAAAATGCATAACAGTACGACATTGCATTGTTACCATTTAGCAATGTATCATTTTAAGTATAGAAAGTAGCTTCTCACATACATCGGCTTTAGCACAACACGAATAAGAGCTTAACAAGCGAATGTGTTCAACTGATTTACATTGATTCTCTAACTTGTTGATGTATTACATTTTCTATCACATGAAAATTAATATTGCACAAAGTTAATAAACGGTTAAAAGGAAAATCGGTTGACATTTTGTTGTTCTATTGCTGTTTTTGTGAAGCGGTATCTTTATCGTAGTTGAATTGTGTGCCCTATTTTAAATTCAGAAATGTACAACGATCATAAATGAATAACGTTCCGACATCTACAGTTCATATTTGCTTTCAATTTGAGTTTTATTTTAAATAAATTTGTTTTTCTTAATCTGTTACACTTTGACATGTGCGCCTTTTGTTTGTAATCAATAACTTTTAACGTATGCAATGACCCTTTTCAATGTTTTCTGTTGTGTTGTCCTGTCAATATAATTTAGTCTTTTTTTCTTGATATTATCATCCGTTTTGATAATATTTAATAGATATTTTAATACTTAAGGGACAAATATATACTGAACAAAAAAAGAAACGCACAATTAAATTATGCAATCAATAGCCTATGATATTTTGGGAAATTTGTACAAAATTTTATATGGTGGAGGGGAGGGGG